ATATATATATATGTGTGTGTGTGTGTGTGTGTGTGTGTAACTGATGTTGCAGAGGTTGACTGTCAACTTAAAACGACAGACGTGTAATAATGATGTCACATCTATTTTTGAAGCCGGTTATGTAGCCTTCTTCCAGTGTCTCGTTCTTCAACTCATTCCACTTCTTTATTACTTACCTTGAAGGAATGTCTCCTGGTACCTTTGTGGGTCAACTGGGTGTGTAATATCAAACCACGTCCTCTTGTTCTTATTTCAGCCTTATCCAATGTATTTTATCCTACCATCCACTAGGATGCCACCCTGGTCGTGGAGTCTTCAAAACTACGGTGCTCATCACTAACTCCAAGGCTGAGGGACTGATTACCTCATCTTTTGTATATAGCTCTACAGTCTTTCTATTATGTCCTTGAATTTGTATTAAGCCATTGGATGGCGAAACGTCTGCAAATAAAGATACCCAGATGTTGTAATTCAAAAATATTATTAACATGTGTTCGACTAGGTTGAGGCTTGTCTTACGTTCTCCAGGTTAGCCTATCTTGATGTTATTCTCTTTTTATGTTTCAGGAAACAAGTTCAGGTTAATGGATATTCCTAGGTCATTTTGTTTACGTTTCTGTGAGCTTATTTTCCCAACATGGCAATCTATGATGAACATCAAAATGGTATACAATACCGACAGGTTGTTAGGTAAGACACATATGCAACAGTTAGACAACTTTATTCCGAAACGTTTCGCCTACACAGTAGGCTTCTTCAGTCGAATACAGAAAGAAGGCAGGAACAGTAGAGATGTGAAGACGATGTAATCAGTCCATCACCCTTGTAGTCGTAGAATTTGAGGTTGTCAGTCCCTCGGCCTGGAGAAGTTCAGTTCAGATAGTTCCTGACTATGGAACTGAACTTCTCCAGGCCGAGGGACTGACAACCTCAAATTCTACGGCTACAAGGGTGATGGACTGATTACATCGTCTTCACATCTCTACTGTTCCTGCCTACTTTCTGTATTCGACTGAAGAAGCCTACTGTGTAGGCGAAACGTTTCGGAATAAAGTTGTCTAACTGTTGCATATGTGTCTTACCTAACAACCTGTCGGTATTGTATACCATTTTGATGTTCATCTTGTCAGACACTGCAACACATGGCATCTTGGTACAGAAAACACCTTGGACAAGCTTTTCAAGTGAGAAGTGTTGGATCTGAGAGGGACATGACCTCTCAGTGGTTACATTCTCACTACTACTACTACTACTACTACTACTACTACTACTCTGCACCTCTCCTTCCGACAGTATTTAAGTCTCCGCACTGTCGCTTGATCTTCAGATAGTTCCTGACTATGGAACTGAACTTCTCCAGGCCGAGGGACTGACAACCTCAAATTCTACGACTACAAGGGTGATGGACTGATTACATCGTCTTCACATCTCTACTGTTCCTGCCTACTTTCTGTATTCGACTGAAGAAGCCTACTGTGTAGGCGAAACGTTTCGGAATAAAGTTGTCTAACTGTTGCATATGTGTCTTACCTAACATGGCAATCTATACTGGGCTTCACTTCGCCGTCTACAAGCAGTAGCTGAATTAAACACCATCAACTATTTATTCAGTCATTTATAAGATCTGTCTAATTTTCATGCCTGCACTTTTCTCTCAACTTCAATCTATGTCGTCATTATTTTGACATAATTCGAAAATTAGGATGTACAGTAGTTTATTCCTGTTGTCAATAATATACACTAGAAATAATACGGGGCTCAGCCCTGATCCATGTGGGACTCCACTAGTTATACTCTCCTATCCTGATGCATCATTACTTATGGCAATTATTCGCTTATTCATACTGCTATCTTTTCTGTTATCTCGGCTTACATCTCCAGCTCCCTCAGTAACCTATGTGATTCCCTACCAAAATCCTTGTTGTACTTTTGGGAGACTGCAGTCTGTACCTCCCTGTCTATCATGTCTAGCCTCGGTTAACGTATCATTTAGTCGCTATAAAGGTTTTAAGTAATGACTTTCCAGTTCTAAATATATACTGGTGTTCTGTAGGGAAATAATTCTTTCCAGATCCTCAACAATCTTTTTCTATTTTATGTTTCATAGCGATTTGCATGGTACACTTATTAGCGACGCTCATCTGTACTTCAGGAATTCCTACCTCTATTTTTTTTTCTTAATTTGGGTAGCCCACCCTCTAGTTAATATTCTGCTGGCTCCAGATTTTTTTGTGTGTGCCAGGGTCCATCAAGTGTCTCACTTAATGATCGCTATGAAATAATCTGTTAATTTCACTGCCTAGTTTCTTATCATTTAAATTTATTTTTTCTCATGTGTCTGTGAAGCCGCTTTGTCTTGTCTTGGATGAGTTGCCCAGTTCAAGTTGTTTTTTCTGCTTTCCTCCTTACTCTTCAGATATTAATTTATGGATCTTACTTTATCCTAACTGTTCTCTAGCATTGACTCTGTGCTGTGCTGTTCCGTACACTTATGTTCCTGGCATCTGCTACTTTTCGTTGGATGTTGACTCACGGGTAATTAGTGTATCTTCTCAATTCTTCTGCAGGTTATTATAAATTTGTCTGGAGCCTCATTTCCTTAATATAGTGTTCCACAGTACGTGTGTCAGACAGCTACTCAGTCCTTTGTCACTATCTTGATCATCAGTTTCTTAAATTTCTCATTTTCTGATCATTTCTTTAGCCTCGTGTATACCAGCTAGTACAGTGTTGTTAGTGATCATTACCTCTCAACGGCAATCCGTATTTAATTTTGTATATATCTCGTTGAAAGTGAAAATAAGGTCCAGCTTCGTTAGCGCATCATTCCCTAGTATTCTAATAAATCTCCACTCTCGTTGTGTTCGTATATACAGTTACCTGCTTGTAAGTACAGGTAGAGAGGTTGTCCTCGTGGTGTCCTGTGTCCTCTCACTGCTGTAAATTAATTGCGCAAGATTTACAAACCCTCAGTGGGTTATCGGCAAAAACCATTGGGGGTCGAAGATTTTTTTTTTTTTTTTTTTTTTGTGTTTTTTTTTTTTTTTACTATTATCTACCACTCAGTAACGAAATATTTCGTAATATTCGCTCCACTTCTTATGCAATTTAATTTAAAGTAAAGGCCATTTTTATTCCTGTTTCTAGTAGCAATGAATCCTCCTCATCAACTTTTTTCATCCTCTTATTAATTGATAAGTGTCTATCATATCTCCTCTCTTCCCAATACCTCACATTTTAACCTAGTAACTCACACGTCTTAATTCCTGAATTTATTTCGTCTTTAAACATTTTTTTTTTCCATTTTCACATTTTTTTTTAAGGCTTGAGCACGACATCGCAGACACGTCTAATTTTTTTTTTTTTTTGTAGGCTAAAGATACATCTTCCATTTTTGGGTTAATTATCAGTTGTTTTGATTCCCGTAAGACTAGTTACATCTTACATATTTTGTCCTACACATATTCATATCTTCTCATCTAATAAATTCCTCCACTGTTTACAGAACTAAACTTGTATATAAAATGAATCAAAATAGAGATAACGCACATTATATATTTCTGGTTATCCTTGGCTCAGTTAATATAATTTATCACAGCTGTATGCCTGTCAATAGCATTTCCTTGTTGTAATCGTTCATAACAACCGAATAATGACTTTAAAACTAAAACAGTGAACCTCAACGCAACTTATCTTAAATTTAGAGGATATAACCTATTTACCTCGTTATTTATTTTGGTACAATATTTATCTGACTTTAAAAGATAGTTGAGATAGCTTCATTATTCTGTGCATTATATTATTATTATTATTATTATTATTGTCATAATTTGCAAGAGTAAGTCTCTCTTGTTATGTCTAATATACACCAGCAACAATAAGAACGTCAATGGTAATGTCATATTGTTTGACTTTCTACAGTATTTATAGCATAAAACTACTGTAAAAGTTTAAGATTGGGTAGGAAGCTTTTAAAAAAACTTACTGTGACTTCAGAAGTTAGGTTCCCCAGTTCTTACAGCAACTCTTCCATGGTTGAAGTAATTACCGATTTGTCATTAAGTATTTGTGATTGATTATTCTTAATACTGGCGGTACCACATCTTCCATACTAATTTTCGATACATAATTTTTTTTCCAGAACTAACCATTGTAGCACTTCTTACTTCCTCTTTTAAATCACTATCCACGTCACCGCCTTTCCGGGTTCCTTCTTGAGTTTGCTTAGCAGCCTCGTGGTCTACTGTATGTGTAAACTCACTCACTCACTCTCTCTCTCTCTCTCTCTCTCTCTCTCTCTCTCTATATATATATATATATATATATATATATATATATATATATATATATATATATATATATATATATATATATATATATTACATAGGGTTTTACAAGGTTAGGGTTGAGGGCGTTCACTCTCTCACTTTCTCTCTCTTATGATTTGTGTTATGTGGCTTGTAAGGTCTACACAAATCTAGTCATATGTGAGTGAGAACTGAACCTGCTTTGCATGGACCAATAGGCCTACAGCAAAGCTCCACTATTCTCGTGTTTTTGTAGTTTCAGGTCGATCTGTTACTGATGTGCACACGGTAGTGGCGTTGCACCTGCAACTGGCAGTGCACGTGCAGCTAACTGGCGGTGCTCCCGGAACTGGCAGTACTCTAAGGTGGTGAGTACCACAGGGATATATAGCCATCAGAAACTGGACAAACACCAGTACTTGAGTAACATAAACCGCCACAAGGAACGTGATAACGGTAAATGACGCGACGAATCAGACATTCTCGAAGAACGATTCTGAACGTGAGGTATTTCGACTCAATCACGGAAATAAACACGCTGAATATTCGCAAATTAAATATGGCACAATTTGTCAACATTTGTCAATAAACAAAGATTGGTGGATAATCATTACATAGAGAGAGAAACATGAGTGTTACATAGTGAGGGAAGTAGGAGCAGTAGCAGGAACTGAAGGGGTAGTAAGTACTCACCGCGAAGTTGTTGTCGCACTGCACCTTCGCCATGTCGGGCATGTTGTAGATTTTGAGCTCCTGCAGCGCCCCCTGGAGGAGAGACAACCAAACATGTGTGAGCAGCAGGTGGAGCAGCCGACGGCACCCCCAAGACACCACCACCATCATCGTCAACACCACCAATAACACGTCACCAACACGTCACTTCTTCAACACCCTCGTCGACCTCTCTTCCTACCTCCTGCAGCACCGCTGCTTTTCCTCACTGGCTTTACCCAGACATTTCGTACATTGCGACGATTAAGATAATTGCAAGCAAATATGCTTCGCTTATTTTTTTGCAATGTTGAGGCTGCAATAATAAGTGCCGGTGTGTGTCACATTATTTTTGACTCGTTCATCGAGATGCATGGACGCAGCTCTCGGTCCTACACTGACACACCTGATTTATGTCCTTGTCCGATGACAGGGCTGATTATTTTAATGAATTAACATGACATTTTAGGTTTTTTATAATATAAGAGTAATTTGCTGACTCGGTAAAAATCTACAGATTTCATATATAAAAGTGATGCTGTAATATCTGCTACAGTGAGGTGGGGAGATGCAAATCCCTCGGTTCATGTGTTACGACAAGGCACGGTTGGGACGGGGCGGGGCAGGGCAGGGCAGGGCGGAGCAGGGCGGTGGGTGGAGTATGGAGCGGGCGTAACCTCACTCTACTGTAGCCAGCAACCAACTGAGAGGAACTTGTCGAAGTTGTCGGTACCTGAGCAGCATAAACACACTGGTCGAACCACGTCAAGAGCCCACACAGTTACCAAGTCATCTATTCTTATAATGTTTACATTAATCAGTCAAGTGGTCAGTGTGAGTACACTGACCACTAAGATGTACTCCATCAGTCGCCAAGCAGTAACACAGTTGCCTGTAACCTCCTTTACCTTAAGATTATATACATAATCTGAGTCGAAGCGAAGTAGCACGAGGTTATTTGTGCCAAGGCACGTGGAGTCATTAGTGGTGTGTGTGTACTCACCTAATTGTGGTTGCAGGGGTCGATACTCAGCTCCTGGCCCCGCTTCTTCAATGACCGCTACTGGGTCCTCCCTCTCCCTGCTACATGAGCTTTATCATACCTCATCTTAAAACTATGTATGGTTCCTGCCTCCACTACATCGCTTGCCAGACTATTCCACTTCCTAACAACTCTGTGGCTGAAGAAATACTTCCTAATATCCCTCTGACTCATCTGAGTCTTCAGCTTCCAATTGTGACCACTTGTTTCTGTGTCCCATCTGTGGAACATCCTGTCTATGTCCACCTTGTCTATTCCTCTCAGTATTTTGTATGTCGTTAACATGTCTCCCCTGACCCTCCTGTCCTCCAGTGTGTGTGTGTGTGTGTGGGTGTGTTACAGCTCCTGGCCCTGCCTCTAAACTTGCCATTTCCTACGTGGACCCTGTCATACCTATTCTTAAACTCTCTCATATATATCCCTAAATCTATGTATGAAGTCTGTCTCAACTATTTCTTCGTCCAGGTCATTCCACTTCCTAATCACTCTGAGGCTGAAGAAATACTTCCTGACATCCCCATGACCCGTCTGTGTCTTTAGGACCACAATGGAAATAAGTCACTGTCTGACTTTTTTGGTTATCCTAGGTTATCTACACATATGCTGCTATGTAAGATAATCTATGTAACTGTGTATACCTGAATAAACTTACTAGCTGTACCCTTGTGTACCCGTTTCTCACATCACTGTCATCTCAGAGCACAGATGACGAACCACTGGTTTTAAATCCTTCCCCTCTCTCTTCCTCCTCTCACTTCTCTCTCCCTCCCCTCTCCTCCCCTCTCGTACCTAGTTCCCCTGCTCCTCAATAAGAATAAGACACGTGTAAACATGTGTCTCATTCATCAGCGTGTCGAAAATGTTTACCATCAGGAATCAGGTACTGATCACAGGTTATATTTGGCACACAAAAATTAACTTGACCCTCAGAATAACCCACAAGAGTAAAGGCACAGAATATTTTCTTTAGATTTGCATCAAATGTGACTGGCTTATTGTGCACCTCCTGTCCATCTTGCACATAACATCAAAATCACCCTAGAGGGAGATAGATAGATAGATGGATAAATAGAGAGAGAGAGAGAGAGAGAGAGAGAGAGAGAGAGAGAGGGGGGGAATCCTTAACTTGTAAATAGCTTGTCAATAAAGCTAGGGATCCTTAACCTTGTCAAACCCTGTGTTAAATAAAAAAAAAAGAGAGAATGTGAGAGAAAATAACAGGAAATCAAACTAAACTTCAATTTCTTTCTTAGAAACACTACAAAAGACATAACCTTGAGAATGCATAACTAAATATTGTCTAAAATAAGCCAGGCTGTAAGGCGTAAAGTTCCTGTTGTCTCAGTCTTTAACAGTAATTTTCTCTAAATTTTCTCTAATTTTCCTAAAAACTGCACAGCTGATCTAAACCTCAGGGAAATTTAATGTAATGATCTTGTTTACTGTGAACATTCATCTATGTTCCACTTCGCCTTAAAGTGAACCTTCGTCAGTCTTTTATACAAAAGACTCAATTTTCATGGTAAACTGTTAGGCAGGATACAGAGAATCATGGCAGTACGTAATTACTGATCCAACACAAATACTGATCACAGAAATTAAGACAATGTACCGATTTTTCCGGCATATAAGGCGCGCTTTATTTTCCCATAAAAATTCAAAACGTTTTTGAAAATCAGCCTGCGCCTTATATGCTCAAGGTCAGAGTCAAGGGTAGGAATTGAGTTATACTTTAGCAGTTGTTTACCAACGTTACGTTGCAACTGCTTAAAAACATTGTCTAACATGTCTCCTAGAATCGTGCGCCTTATATGGCGGAAAATACGATAACTTTCCCCACTGACAAGACTTGTGTATCCCATATTTAAACCTCTAATTAAATTTTCATGATTAAGATATTTTACACCCGTCATATATTCTTACAACAGCCTTCTATGACTTCCATACAACACTAAAAATATTTTACAAGACCCGTCTATAGAAAAAATGCACTAATGCAGCGCTGTATGACCCTGGTGGGTTTAGCGCTTGGTTTATATTATAAAAATAAATATAAAATGTAAACAAGAAAATAATAAATGTATCAGCTCACATAATAAATAAAATTAAATATTCGACAAAAAAAAATATCTTTTAAATCACATCAGCTTCCAGCTCCTTAGTCTCTTCCTTCTCCTCCACCGCCTCCACCTCATCCTCCTCTTATGTTATATAGTGGGTGATGTTCTGGTCTGAGAGATAAACATCACCTGGTGGGTGATGTTCTGGTCTGAGAGATAAACATCACCTGGTGGGTGATGTTCTGGTCTGAGAGATAAATCATCACCTTGTGGGTGATGTTCTGGTCTGAGAGATAAACATCACCTGGTGGGTGATGTTCTGGTCTGAGAGATAATCATCACCTGGTGGTGATGTTCTGGTCTGAGAGATAAAACATCACCTGGTGGGTGATGTTCTGGTCTGAGAGATAATCATCACCTGGTGGGTGATGTTCTGGTCTGAGAGATAAATCATCACCTGGTGAGTGATGTTCTGGTCTGAGAGATAATCATCACCTGGTGAGTGATGTTCTGGTCTGAGAGATAAACATCACCTGGTGGGTGATGTTCTGGTCTGAGAGATAAACATCACCTGGTGGGTGATGTTCTGGTCTGAGAGATAAACATCACCTGGTGGGTGATGTTCTGGTCTGAGAGATAAACATCACCTGGTGGGTGATGTTCTGGTCTGAGAGATAAACATCACCTGGTGGGTGATGTTCTTGTCTGAGAGATGAAACATCACCTGGTGGGTGATGTTCTGGTCTGAGAGATAAACATCACCTGGTGGGTGATGTTCTTGTCTGAGAGATAAACATCACCTGGTGGGTGATGTTCTTGTCTGAGAGATAAACATCACCTGGTGGGTGATGTTCTGGTCTGAGAGATAATCATCACCTGGTGGGTGATGTTCTGGTCTGAGAGATAATCATCACTGGTGGGTGATGTTCTGGTCTGAGAGATAATCATCACCTGTGGGTGATGTTCTGGTCTGAGAGATAAACATCACCTGGTGGGTGATGTTCTGGTCTGAGAGATAAACATCACCTGGTGGGTGATGTGTTCTGGTCTGAGAGATAAATCATCACCTGGTGGGTGATGTTCTGGTCTGAGAGAAATAAACATCACCTGGTGGGTGATGTTCTGGTCTGAGAGATAAACATCACCTGGTGGGTGATGTTCTGGTCTGAGAGAATAAACATCACCTGGTGGTGATGTTTCTTGTCTGAGAGATAAACATCACCTGGTGGGTGATGTTCTTGTCTGAGAGATAAAACATCACCTGGTGGGTGATGTTCTGGTCTGAGAGATAAACATCACCTGGTGGGTGATGTTCTTGTCTGAGAGATAAACATCACCTGGTGGGTGATGTTCTGGTCTGAGAGATAAACATCACCTGGTGGGTGATGTTCTGGTCTGAGAGATAATCATCACCTGGTGGGTGATGTTCTGGTCTGAGAGATAATCATCACCTGGTGGGTGATGTTCTGGTCTGAGAGATAATCATCACCTGGTGGGTGATGTTTGGTCTGAGAGATAAACATCACCTGGTGGGTGATGTTCTGGTTGAGAGATAATCATCACACCTGGTGGGTGATGTTCTGGTCTGAGAGATAATCATCACCTGGTGGGTGATGTTCTGGTCTGAGAGATAATCATCACCTGGTGGGTGATGTTCTGGTCTGAGAGATAAACATCACCTGGTGGGTGATGTTTTCTGGTCTGAGAGATAAACATCACTGGTGGGTGATGTTCTGGTCTGAGAGATAAATCATCACCTGGTGGGTGATGTTCTGGTCTGAGAGAAAAAACATCACCTGGTGGGTGATGTTCTGGTCTGAGAGATAAACATCACCTGGGGGTGATGTTCTGGTCTGAGAGATAATCATCACCTGGTGGGTGATGTTCTGGTCTGAGAGATAAACATCACCTGGTGGGTGATGTTCTGGTCTGAGAGATAATCATCACCTGGT